AAACCCATTTATGATTCCAAAATCTAATAGCTGGTGTCAAGAGCTTTTCAAAACACTATAATGAAGTTATTTTTCATTAAGTACTTTTCGAGTTATGAGGCTTGAAAGTTACAGCATTTTGACATAAAATATAAAATATCTTGTGAAACATTCAATTTTCGGGAATCTTACCTTAATACTTTTATGCACAAAATAATGAGACGAATCAATTGGTATAAAGAAAACACATAGTTGCTTTCAAGAAAAAATATGTAATTTGTAACATGCAACTGCATACTTCTTTTTTAAACCAATGTGTTTTCTTTATACCAATTCATTTGTCTCATTATTTTGTGCATAAAAGTATTAAGGTAACATTCTCAAAAACTGAATGTTTTACAAGATATTTTATATTTTATGTCAAAATACTGTAATTTACAAGCCTCATAACTCGAAAAGTACTTAATGAAAAATAACTTTATTTTAATGTTTTGAAAAACTCTTGACACCAGTTATTAGATTTTGGAATCAAAAATAGGGTGTTCTATTTAAGAAAACAAAGTTGACCTCTATATGACCTTGGCATGTACACCCTAGGTTAAACCAATGTCATCATCGGATGTCCCCCTCCAAATCCAACAACTTTGGTCTAAATCATTTTTCTTGAAAATGTCTCTCTGAAAAGTTATTCACGTGGGGTTTTTAAAATGGGACATCTTGTATATTACAGATTTCCATAGCTGTAGGACAAAAAATGACTACAATCTTCTTTGACCAAGAACAATTTTTCGAGCACATGGAGTATCTGTGGTGAAATACCTGAAAGGCAGTATTAGTAATTTCCATGAGTTATCGGTCAACGCTTCCGGCGTTAAGAAGGTAAGACACTCTGTATTATACGGTGCGGACAGGTCGAGATGATTCAAATGATGCAGCGTGTAATGCAGATCTCCGAGAAAGAAATCGGCTTTCCCAGCGATTGCCTCGCCAAGGAGACCGGTGTAACTATCGTTGTCTCCCGCTTTACCCCACTTTTCATTCTTGATATTATAAGGCATATAATAGTTCGCTTTGAAATTCATCGCCTTTGCTATAACTCGAATTAGCTAAAGCAACGAATTATTTCTTTTTATATTAGTTTATATCTACCTTTCTTATTTTCTCATTTTCTTTCTATGCCCTTAATATACATACTTCAAATTCGATACCTAAAGCTTTAGGGCTTGCGATTGTGCTTTGATGGTACTGATCTCGCGATGCTTCTGTCACGGCCGGTATATGTTCGAAAACCGCAACTCTGTAAGTTTTATTTGAACATTAATATTCTAAAGCATTGAAATAACTAATCTTTTACCCTGTTTATAATAGAAAAATTTAGAAACGCAAAATTCTGTTTAATCAATATTTTGTTTTTAAATGTGTTATATTTTTTGCAAATCATATTTAGATTGTGTTTATGCACTAATTTCACGTACTAACCGTAAACCATTGCCGCGAAGATCCATGGTTTTCGACAGATAGTGGTCATTGCCGTAGCGCAATTTGCCATCCTGCCACGAGTCGACATACTTCGTCGTGAAGCCCATCGTACGCGATGGATAGTAGACGGTGCTGAGATCAATTCGCTCCGCGGTAATCCGTTCGCCCGAACGATATTTAAACGTATTATATTTCCGTATAAACACCACATTAACAATTCGATTCCAAATATAATGCAATTCAGGCCTGAACAAGCGATTATCGTGCAGAAGTAAAAAGTAACCTCGCGTGTCGATTAAACGTTCTCTGTGGAAGTCAAATGCGAGTTAGCGTGAAAGAAACGCGATAAAAGATAGATGTGAAATGCGCTGTATAACATTGAAGAAAGAATAATCATTTTCTATTATCGCAATTCAAAAATTCTTCAATTTCAACAATTTTAAACTTATATAATATACACAAAAAATTTCTTCAAAAGATGATTAATGTTTATCTTTTCGAATTATAATATTATTAATTTAGTTTCTCAATTGCAGCGGCGCGTGTTGAATCGTTATGCCATTCGAGTCTTTGTTAGAACTGTGATATTAATATAATTTCTAGCAATTGTCAAATTTGTAATAATTGTTAGTAGATTTTTTTATTCTTTACCCTTCAACATATTGCAAGAATCTTGATGTTAACAGTCCATTGGCAATTAATATCACGTACGCATCGCAGTCATCTGCTTTGATATGCTGGAGTGTTCTCGCAAGTAACTTCCTCGGTCGTGAAAAATCCTCACTATCGCGTATGGCGATCTGTGCGAAGACAAAGTGACACAAAACGTATTTATGAATTATTAACTTCGTTATTGAATAAATGTGGTATAAATCATAGACGTGAGAAAGAAGTTCGATTACAGCGCATATCAGTAAATTGATATGAGTTTTTGTATATATTACTTACGTCGTATTTCGACAAAAAAGAAGATATTTCCATACTGTGCACATCAATCAGTCTGCGATAAAAAGGATCTGTGATAAAGACTATGCAACTACTATGTGCAGAAATTTGTTTCACGATTCTCTGGACCACTGATCTCAGATTGTTGGTTTCGTGCTCGCAACGATGCACCTCTTCGAAATAGTTTCTGCAGTTATTGGAATTTGTTAGAATAAACTTTATTCAACTATAGACTCTAATCGCAGAATCAATTAAACATTAAATAATTGTATTAACTAATTATCTAGTATTTTAAATAAATTACTCGAGTCACGATAAAATAAAAAACTCGCACACTGTCCTCGCAATATGCATATTTTCGAGCGATTTATAATGGATTTGTTAACTCCGCATTAATTTAATACTAAATTATTGTGTCATTCTCTAGAATCACTAGTCGAAATATTTATATTACTTTACACGGATTATTTTACCTGCCAACAATAGTGAGGATGGATTGCGAAAACACGATGAAAACCGCTGTTATCACCTCGAAATGCATGTCGAAATATTTATTCTCATTTTACTCGTCGCATCCGAATACTTGGCTCGTATCGAATTATCGATCTCTCGCGATCTTTTACGTCTTTCCCCACAATGTAAATTTTTAACTATCTCATTTTCAAACAATTGTGTCTGTCGAGGCAACACAATCGCTCTTGCATAATTCTAGCACATCTTGAATAATGTTAGACCGAACAGCTTGTTGTAGGTCGAAACAAACATTTCGCTAAATAAATTAGTTTGCTCATTAGTGCTGGTAAAAATCTAGATGCGATCGCCCAATTATTATTTCACAATACGATATTAAATCGATATCATTAAAAAGTATCTCACACAATACGGTGCCAAATATGATATTTGAAAATATGTGATAAAAGAGAACATCAAAAAATCAATTTTAAATGTACAAACTAATCATATACATACATATACAGTTTATTTTTTGGATTGATTAACAATATATCAATCTTTTACGCAAGTGAACAAGTGTTCTTCGATTTTGCGGGAGAACTATACATTTAAGATAACTAATTAAAGTATATTTTTAACTTTAAACTTGAAATAACTCATGAAAGACATAAATCTTTTTCTTATAAAGTCAACATACAAACATACTTTTATATGAGCTTATTTTCAAATCGTTCGGTTTAGGCGTTATTGAAATCCGAGAATTATTGAGATCCGGCTCTTCTCAGCTCAGTGGTTTCGCGTTTAGTCACGTCGCTCTTTTGCGCGTTACACTTGAATTTGGCGCGAGACACGACCGTGTCTCTTGATACTTACAATTAGGCGAAGTTATGGAAAAGTATTAGAATTAATTTTCAATATTTCAAACTTTTCTGTTCTGTTCAATGTGCTCTATCCGCTCACGAGCGTTGATCCGTGAGTTACCAGACATCCTGTATATATTTAATCTTATCATTAAAAGAAAATATTGAACTTTAGTGCAAACTTAGCATTATACCAAATACATTGCTGGCTATTTAATGATTGTCAAAATGTTTGGCAAGGTCCGTTATTGCTCGTTTGTCTTGCGTGATCGAAGAGAAAACAAAAGACCAGCAAATCAAAGATATGAATCACCCAAATCATGTTTATTGCAAGAGATATCATCAGAGATGTGCCCAATAATTTGTTTTCTACCGCTCGATTGGCTTAGTCCGTCGAGTTTCTTTTTCTTTTAGATGACCTCGGATTTATCGATTTCTTGAATTGCTTTAGGTATTACAGAACTGCTGCAGATTCTTTAAGACTGCCCCGATCCACTTAAAACAGTGTAGGATTGCGCTCTGTTCATTAAATGCGCTCTTACAACTCTAAGTAAGCAATATTCTTGATCTGAATATAGAACCAATTAAACGACGATAATTTCAAGTATATTATTTGTCATCAAATCGGTAGAAGAAATCATATTCGGCTTGTTATAAATAAAACGTCTCGGAAAGAGATTGTAAGTGATTTTTTCTAGACGAAACTAATAGATGTACTTTCATTACCAATTAATAAATATTAACTAAAGAAATTGTGAGTTCGATATATCAGCCATTGCCAATAGTAAAGAATCGTTTACAATATAATATGATAAATACAACTTTTACAACTCATGTATGACGGCTTTCTTCTTACAATTAGATTATCCATATAAACAATTCAATGCAAATATTAATATTACCTTTCCTACTATTACAGATATTTTAAAATTTTTGGCATAAGCATACAGACATTCAAAATATTTTATTTCATATTACTTTATTTTTGACAAAAATTATTTTCTTGCAAGTTACATTATATTTTCCCAGACATATTTTGTACTCTGGAGGGAGAACCAATTCTTTCTTCAATATTGATTATAAGACATTTATAGTTGTCAAATAATTTTCTATAATATTTTTTATTGCAAATCAAAGAAGACAAATATGTGCTCCAACAAAAATTTGCAGTGTAAGGAGGAATAATTAAATTAAGTAAATATTACTTTAACCGAGGTATACCGAAGAGCCCATAATTTGTAACTTGTCTTCCATACTCGTCTATTCGTTTTTTAATTTTTTTTTTAACATCATCAATTAGTCGCTCTCCCCCCAAATTAGCTTTCACGAATTCAAGTACCTGAGACAAATTATTTCGACAACATCAATAAACCTAAAATTTTTTTGCACTACAGTTTATGAGTGCATTAATTGCTGTGTTGAAGGTAATCGGATCCGATATGTCATATACAAAAAAATCAAATAAAAATAAGCTAAATATTAAGTAATAAAGAAATGAGTGTTATTTAAGTCAAAAAAATATACCTTATTTAATTGCTTTACAGCATGTTGGTGCGTAATAATAACAATTAATATTGCAATTTTGTCGCGTTGCCTGCGAAAAAATAAAGTGATAAATATTATTATTTAAAAAGGCAATAAGAATAAAAGAAACGCGGGTGGATAAAAATTATAAATATAACAAATATTTATATAAATATAGAGATATATTTGTAAAAAAATTATTATTACGTATTGGAGGTGAACATAAGTGTATTTTTATTGAGATTTTGCAATACAAAATCGCAAATTATATTGTTTCTTGCATGTTTCGCAACGGTAAGAAGAATTATGTGAGCACGTGTATTTCTGTGATGTAATAAATAATTATCTTTTGAATTCAGTGTCAAATAAGCAGAAATGATTTCAGGTTTTCTGTTGCAAGTTAAATATTCTAAAAGTTGATTATCACGTATTTCTGCCCATTTGGTCTATATATCGTACATATAATTTTGTGGTCCGCTGACATCAAACCATTACAATACATCCATTCTTTCCATTCTGATTGCATTGTTGAACTGTTATTAGAAAAAAAAGTATTTCTTACAAAAATTTAGCTTATTTAATGATAAAATAATTTATCCAGTACAGTATTTGATGTATATAATGTAAGAATATGTAGAGCAAAACAGATATTGTTTATATAAATATTGTGGTTGTAAAACATCTTACGTGTAATTTGAAGGATAAAGATTTTTCTTCATTTGCATACTGGCTACATTTCTACATTCTTTGTTACCAATAACACATGCCCATCTTACGGCTTCTTCTCTTAAACGTTCTATAAGATCGCTCTCGTATGGCTTTGTATAATATCCTATTTTTTGTAGAACTCCAGTCAATATTTTTTCCATCTTTTCCTAAAAATTGAAAAGTAATATAAATTTTAATCTATTGTTTTTTATAAAATATATGTATGTATATTTATATATTTATATAAATTTATTTTAACTTTTTTTGTATACAAAGTCATTCAAAACAACCTGACGTTCTTGAAATATCATATCCTTGAGCGATTTTTAAAACGATTTTTCTTCTCGCAAAATTTCGTCCGGAACTTAGTTTTTGAGTTATAATTGAAGATAGTTCGCTATTTACACTCACACACACTGTGACTGTGAAGTGTTACGTTACTCTTAAGATGCGTTGCACTGCCCCTGCTTACCCGCTATACCGGACTCACGTGTGTACGAACTATTTTCAATTATATCTCAAAAACCAACCTTCGAACAAGATTTTGCTAAAAAAAAATTATCTTAGAAATCACTGAAGAATACGACACTTCAAGGACATGAGATTGTATTGAATCACCCTATACAGATAATATTTTGATGTAATATTTCTTATAAAAATTTCCTATTACCTACCTTTACATTGTCAGCTTTTTGAATTGGAATCATGAAAGTTATATATTCAAAAGCTTTAAACATAGCATACCATACTACATAATTCGTTTCTCGTGATAAAAATTCAGAGATTTTCCAAAACACAGTGTAATCAAGTTGTTTATGTATGAGGAAGTAAAACGCATCATCTATGATTTGAGCTCGATTAAGAATATGTATGTCGAAATATCTCGTTGAATTCATGTACTGCGCAAGTTTAAGCCAATTATCAGTATCATAATTAACACGATAATACCCTGTCAATAAAAAGAAAGTTTTCATCATTAAAGTCTCTTGGTAGAGTTTATCAAGAAATAATTTTTTATATCGCATTTTGTGAAACATTTCCTCAAATAATTTATTTTTTACTAAAATATTTTGAACAATTTGTTTGAAAAAAGTGTAGGAGCGATTAATGTGTGAGAATGTTTGCTTGCAAGCATGAGTGACACGCACACGTACGAGTATGCGAGTGCATGTATCATGAGCAGTATGTCCGTATCAGACTGCATATTGAAGATTGAGATTAAAAATTGAACATTGAAATTTGACTAATCAGGACAAAGAACTTTTAGCTTCTTTTGTTTCGATTGGCCAAATTTCAATCTTTAATCTTTAATGCGTAGTCTGATACGGGCGTAAGTTTAAAAAAGCAAAAAAGATTAAACATAATAAATGAAATGTTTTATATTTACCTGTTTGTTGTAAATTGACTATAATCCAATCATTTTCATCAAACTTTTGCACTAATCTTTTCGGTTTTTCCGGTGATAGCCAAAAGGATTTATTGACAAAAATATCGTGAAAGTTCATATTTGATTTTGTCGTATACGTCACAAATGCTGAAAGATGTTCTGTATCGTCAATAAAACTGTAACTGCTATATTCGAATGTTGTCTTGTTGATAAAATAATTGCGTGTCACGTATAGTACAGGATAATATTGTTCCGCTATCCAAACGGATATAAGTTTGTTTAAAATTAAGACGCTGGAATTATTTGGATACGTGCGTAAAATAGTTTGTATTATGTCCCATAAATTATCTGTTTGATTGTATCTGTAAAATGGAAAATTTTTATAAGAGTATACATTGTGCGAGTTAATATTTAATATATTAAAATATTAATTTATATATTTATATAATTAGTAATTAGTAGAATTTGTATAATTGTATGAGAATTGTAATGAGATATACTATATAGGATATATCTTTTCGGATTTGGAAACAACTACTTTCTTTAACTTTCTTTAACTAGTTTTATATTTCGGAAAAATTAAAACTTGTTTTCAAAATTGTAGATAAAGATGATAATTTATCAAAATATTTTATTCTTTTTATATTCACTTTTTATATTGAATTATATTAATAAACTTTGACTATAATATGAAGAATAAAAGTTCCTCTATCTGTGCATATTTTGAATATTAGTTTTCAAAAGACTATTAAAAGATTATCATAGTTAATTAAACTTTATAATGAATTTTGGTTTGCATAAATAGGAATAGTATTTTAATTTCAGAAGATAAAAAGAGGAAGAGGGG